TTCTATGTTTGTGGTGGTATAGTTGAGCAACCCCTCTTAAAATGACAACTTGTCTATTCTCCTAAAAACCCAACAAACATTGCTTTTACCCATAGTTCCTCAAACTAAAAATGCTCTGACTTTCTCCATGGATATGTAGGCATAGGATTGCAAGATCCTAGCGAGTGCACCTCTTTATTTCACCCCCCTTTATTCATATACATTACAAAAACAACAAAAACATTTCCCACTCCCATAACTCACTCAAAAACAATCAACTCTCCCAATCAATAGCAAATAACTTATGCAAATAACGCAAACATTTTAAGAGGTTCATATAGGATACTATATATACTTAGGGTGCTAGTACCTTCCCTTTGTATAACCAACTCCCGAACCTTAGATCTCTTATGACATTGTTTCAAATTGCATATTTATAGGTTATTTAGATCTTTTCCCCTTCCCTTGGATAAATTAAATTTCAGTGATGATATTTGATTTGCGAGTCAAATTAATCCAATAGGTTGGTCTCTGACTCTCATTGCGCTACACTATATAAGAAGCTCAAACCTACATTAGAAAACAAGCACTCACATTGAAGATTTTAGTGTGTTGGGGTAAATTCAACATTGTTATGTACACCTCTATGTTTCTATAACTTGGAATAGAAGATTTGTCTAGTTGAGTTGTAATACTCAATGTCATTCATCTTGTTAGATTGAAGTTGATTTCTAGGGTTTAGTGATTGTTATCTCATATAACGGATTGTGTCATAGAGAAGAAAGTAAGTAGGTTTTTATGTTTAGGGGGAAGCTCTAAATAGAAATTCATTGGGTAATGTTAGGAAGAGGCATTGAACAACATAGGATTTATTTTTGATTTGCGAGTCAAATTAATCCAATAGCTTGGTCTCTGATTCTCACTGCGCTACACTATATAAGAAGCTCAAACCTACATTAGAAAACAAGCACTCACATTGAAGATTTTAGTGTGTTGGGGTAAATTCAACATTGTTATGTACACCTCTATGTTTCAGTAACTTGGAATAGAAGATTTGTCTAGTTGAGTTGTAATACTCAACGTCATTCATCTTGTTAGATTGAAGTTGATTTCTAGGGTTTAGTGATTGTTATCTCATATAACGGATTGTGTCATAGAGAAGAAAGTAAGTAGGTTTTTATGTTTAGGGGGAAGCTCTAAACAGAAATTCATTGGGTAATGTTAGGAAGAGGCATTGAACAACATAGGATTTATTTTTGATTTGCGAGTCAAATTAATCCAATAGCTTGGTCTCTGATTCTCACTGCGCTACACTATATAAGAAGCTCAAACCTACATTAGAAAACAAGCACTCACATTGAAGATTTTAGTGTGTTGGGGTAAATTCAACATTGTTATGTACACCTCTATGTTTCAGTAACTTGGAATAGAAGATTTGTCTAGTTGAGTTGTAATACTCAACGTTATTCATCTTGTTAGATTGAAGTTGATTTCTAGGGTTTAGTGATTGTTATCTCATATAACGGATTGTGTCATAGAGAAGAAAGTAAGTAGGTTTTTATGTTTAGGGGGAAGCTCTAAATAGAAATTCATTGGATAATGTTAGGAAGAGGCATTGAACAACATAGGATTTATTTTTGCCTGTAAATCTAATTGTTCTAAGCTACTAATAATGAATTTTGTTTCTTAGGTTGTGGACTCAGCCTCCCAAACATAGGTGTGGTTACACCGAACTGGGTAAACAATTGATTGTTTTCTTTATTATTTTACTACTCCAACATCTAGTACTTGTTATTGTAGTGATCCAGGTGTATCTTGTTGAGTTGATTGTCGAAGCATGGAGTTTAACATCTATCCTCTAAATAATAAATTTCATATATATAAGTTTATTACAATTTACAATTATGTTCAATTTATAAAATACTATTTTGATAATTTGTTTTTTAGATGTTTTAAAAAAAATATGATATTATTTTAAGGTCAAGACCATATTCTTTTGCTATACATCGAAATAAACTTTTATTACACACACACTATAAATTGAAATAGATTTTTATTTTACACGCTATATATATATATATATATATATATATATATATATATATATATATATATATATATATATATATATATATATATATATATATATATATATATATATATATATATATATATATATATATATATATATATATATATATATATATATATATATATATATATATATATATATATATATATATATATATATATATATATATATATATATATATATATATATATATATATATATATATATATATATATATATATATATATATATATATATATATATATATATATATATATATAGGGTTGGCAATGAACCAAACAAACTCAAAAATAGTTCAGAATTCGGTTCGACGATTAAATCATTGAATTAGTTTCGTGAACCAAATGAGCTTAATATGAGCGACAGACTAAGTTCGTTAACTAATGAGCTGAATTTGAACTATACATAGTTCGACTCATTAGGTTCATGAACAACTCGATTATATATGAGAAAGATTATATTATCTTTAAGAGTAAGTTTAAAGATTTACTCCAAATCTTAACCCTAAATTTTTCCATTTCTATGCTAGTTATGACAGTAAAGCTGACCGTTGCATTTAAAGTCATCCTTGTTGAAGGTATAATGACATTTATTAAAATAATATGTGTAATGAAGGTTGCAAGTGGTGTAGTAATTATGGGATGAAAATGTATCAATTTCTAGTAATTTTTGATGTACTATTTCATTAAATTTGTAAGGTTCATAAATATTTAGATATAGTTATGGACGTTTGAGACAAATTTTAATTTTAATTGAGTAGTTTTTGAATCAGACTTTCAAATGCATCTCTTGAAAGTTGTGTAGTTTTTGAATTAGTAGATTTTTGATGCAAAATTAAATTTCAATATGATAATTTTTATTTTATTTTTAATATTTTCTTTTTAAAAAATATTAAATTAAAAAGTCAAATATAAAAAAATAAAAATAAAAAACAAATTTGAAAAAATGACTTTTAAGTCCGTAAACCAAGTGAGTTTAATCTAACGAAATGAACCTAACGAGTTGAACCGAATTGTTCGTGAACTTATAACGAGTCGAGTTTGAACTTTAAAAAAATTGTTTAAAACTCAAACTGAAATTTGAGTTGAACAAATTCTTATCGAGTCGAGCCGAGCTGAGGAGAGTCCGACTCGACTCGACTTATTTTCAACCTTAATATATATATATATATATATATATATATATATATATATATATATATATATATATATATATATATATATATATATATATATATATATATATATATATATATATATATATATATATATATATATATATATAATTGTTTATTTAAATTTATAATTATGTTCAATATATAAAATACTATTTTAATAATTTATTTTATAGATGCTTTTAAGAAAAACATTTTATTTTGTTAAGGTAAGACCATAATCTTTTTTATACATTGAACGTAATTATAAATTGAGATAACCTTTAATATATATATATATATATATATATATATATATATATATATATATATATATATATATATATATATATATATATATATATATATATATATATATATATATATATATATTAAAGTTTATTTCAATTCATAATTATAATTAATGTATAAAATACTATTTTAATAATTTATTTTCTAGATACTTTTCAAAAAATATCTTTTTAAGATCAAGACCATGTTGTTTTTTAAACATTGAACTGAGGGACAAATAAAAACCTTATAATCAAATTAGTAGGTAGAAAACAGATAAATAATTATGGACGTTACAAACAATTTTTTAAAAAAGTTTTTAAATATTACTTTCCTTTTGAAATTATATACATTCAATGCTATCAAAAATAATAAATAAATTTATTTAACAAAAATAATATGATTTAAAAAAATTACTATCATTTTATATTTTCTATGTATTACTTTTTCTCTTTAAAATATCATCTAATTAATTTTTTTTTCATACGACAATAAAAATACACCGTTATTTGATATTTTTTTAATTTGTAAAAAAATTTGTGTATACTTTATTTTACATATGTTACATGTCAGCGAAAATCGATAAGAGGAAGATGCTTTATTTTATTTTTATAAATAATAATGCATTTTTTTTATAATGAGTGTTAATTTTCCTTATTTCACACATAACAAAATACCATTGTAAATAAAAGGAAGATAATAATAATCCTATCATATTATTTTTTTAATCAATTCTTAGTGTATTCTTGATTATAATGAATATAATATTTTGAGAATAATGTATTTAATATTAATTTTATGGTATATTAGCGTCCAGACGGGCACTCGCATGTCCGTCTGTCCGCTTTTTTATTGTACACATATAAATATAAATGATATATTTTTATTTAATATTAATTTTACATGAAAGTTATGTGGGAAGTTATTAGTAGGGAGTTATATGAACGATGATAGTAGTAGTTCAATGGAAGTTATTGTGTAAGTTATATATTTTAAAATAAGGGTAAATTTGGTATAAAAAAAAAGCTACACAAAAAACTAAGTATTGTCTTTATATATGTTATAGATTATAGATATCTGTTTTATAGATTATAGATTATTTATTTATTTATTTAAATTAAAAATACATTCACTTTTAGATAATATGACACTCATTTTAAAAGGAAAATATATATAAATATATATTTTATCATTTTCTTGAAAACAAATTCAATGAACCATTTGAATTTGAGTAAAAAATTGAGAGCGATATTATTAGGTATAATAATAATAATAATAATAATAATAATAATAATAATAATAATAATAATAATAATAATAATAATAATAATAATAATAATAATAATAATAATACAACTGGTCAATACATATTAAATTTACTTCTATATTAAATTATATATTGTCACTATATATTGTTGAACATTGGTTGAGAATAATACAATCCGCATTAGAAATAGAGTGCAAAAGAAAAAAGAAGAGAAAAAAATGGATAGTGAGAGCGGAATTCCGATTTTGGATTTTCGAAAGAGCACTGGAGTGACATTAGAAGAAGGGAGTGAAGGATGGAAAGAAATGAGTAAGAAAGTGAGAGAAGCATTTGAGAGTCACGGTGTTTTTCTCTTAAGGTGTGATGAAATACCAAATGAATTACAAAAAGAAATGTTCACATTCATGAAATCTTTGTTTGAGTTATCTGAGGAGACAAAGCTGAAATTCTCAGGCTCAAGGCTTGCTAGAGGCTACTTAGGCAAGAGTCCTGCCATTCCCCATAGTCAATCATTTGGGATCGAAGATGCTTTTAAGCCCGAGACATCTCAAAATTTCACTAATCTCATGTGGCCAGAAGGAAATCCATCATTTTGGTAATTAAATATTTTATTTATTATTACATTATCTTTTATTCATTTTAATTGAATGTGACACAATAGTATATGTATATGCAGTGAGACACTATTTTCTTTTACTTCAAAAGCACGAGAACTAAACTCTCTTATTCTAAAGATGGTTGTTGAGGGGTTTGGCCTTCCAGAACAGTACATTTTAGAAGTTGAAGAGTTGAGTAGCGACACTGATTCACGTTTGACAAGGTACCAACTTCCTGAAGAAAACAAAGATTCTGCAGTTACTTTTGTGCCTCACACCGACAAAGGCAGCATAACCCTAATATGCGAGAATGAAATCCAAGGTTTACAAGTGTTACAAAAATCTGGCAATTGGGTTAATGTAAATGTTCCTCCAAATGGATTTATTGTAATTGTTGGTGACATGTTACAGGTAAACTATAACATGTTTTTGAGCATTTATTTTTTATTTTGGTTTTATCTATCCTTTAAATAATTTTATTATTTTTTACAAAATCATATAACTTTTTTTTGGAATATATATAGGCATGGAGCAATGGGAGATTTAAAGCACCAATGCATAGAGTTGTGTTAAAAGGAGACAAAGAGAGATTTGTATTTGTTCTTTTTTCAGTGCCAAAGGAAGAAACATTCATTAAGGTTCCTTCTGAGTTGGTAGATGAACAACATCATCCTCTTCATTACAAACCATTCAAATATGAGGAATTCATGAATTTTATTAAAAAAGTTAGCACTAAAGAGGGAGCACTTGAAGAATTTGCAGGACTTTAATGTCTCACTTTTTAATTAGGAATAATAAAATAATATGTGTTACCTTCTTTCTTTCATGTAATGCAAAATTAATTATAATTTTGTATGAGTTTAAATAAATGATAAAATTTAAATAAAATATAATTGCACCAAATATTAGCATTTCTTTTATATATAGTATTGCAAATTTAATTTTTTCATTGACAAAAGAATATTTAAAATTGTAAAACAAAAAAATATTTTAAATGAATGTCGAACTTGAAACGAAAAAACCACAGCAAATGTTGGTTGGTTGAAGAATGAAAAAACTATAAATACAATATTTATAATAATGTTTAAAATTGAAAATAAAAAATAACACAAAACTAAAAAGTTTGGTATCACCATCATCTCAATGGGTGCATAAACATTTTTTTAATGTAAAATAATTTTAAAAAAACTTAAAATTGAAAGAAAAAGGATATGGTTACATAAGTATTTCCTTTATATTTTGTATACATATCATTTATTTGTTTTGATTAGGTAAAATAATGTCGACATTCTCCCACATCTAAAATCATAAAAATTAAATTGTATTTTCATAATTATAATAGAATTAATTGCAACATAAACAAAGCTTCTAGAAGAAATTCTAAAATATCAACTTATGAAATATTTAGGGATAATTTAAGAAAATTATTGAGTTTTTTTAGCTAAGGTTAAAGTTTGCACTTTTTTTTCAAGACGAATTGCATAGAATCATGTTTTGCATCGAATATGTTAACAAGAAGAATTAAAAAAATTTTGACTTAAAATTTACTCAATAGTGATCATTCGTTCATTTTCGAATGTAAATATTATCCTTTGACATCTTTTAATTAAATAGAAAAAAATACTTTACAAACTATACCCTCTTTTAGGTTCAAGATATCAAACACTTTTAAAGAGGATAATGGACATGCATATAGATTAGTTAGTGCATTTTTTTTGTTGATTATGACACATGGTGAGACTCAATTTCTGTTTATACTTTTAAAATTATTTGAGAGATACATTACGAATATTCAACTATCGTTTTGGCGGGTTAGATTATGTCTTTATCCTTTTTATATTTTATTTTTTATTTAATAAATTGTCTTTATTAAAAAATGGTAAAATAAAAAATTGTAAAAAGATTTTAAATAAAAAAAATCAAAATAAAAAACGTATGCAAAAAGCAGGTGCCCTTTATATATTACTTCCTCCATTCTTATTTATAATCAAATTTTAATATTTTAGATTCATTAAGTAATTAATGCATCTAACCTATATATAATCCAAATACATCATTTATTGAATAAATTTAAGAAATCAATAGTTGCTTATAAAAGAAAATGGAGGGAGTATAGTATAGAAAACTCAATTAATTGGTTAAGTTAAATATCACAAAGTTACAAATAAATGATTTAAATAAAAGAGAAAATTGAAGAAAAACTTAACACTAAAATTTGATATCTCTTTTATGTCTAGAAGATGCAGATAAAATATAGTTTTTTAATTCAATTTTTCTTTTGCATGTAGAAAGGTAAAATTAGTGTAAAAAGAAAAGAAAAAAACACAGCAACAACAACAATTAAGTCTTATCTCATTAAGTGAGGTCCACTATATGAATCAACTTTTTTCGTAATGTTTTATCCATGACCATGCTTCTATCCAAATAATTAATTTCTAAATTTTTCTTAATAACTTCTCTTATAGCCTTTCTAAGTCTTCCTCTTGTTCTTGTTATTTGACTTTTTTTCGTATGATCTACTCTGCTTACCACAAAACCTACGGGCCTTCTATCTACATGCCCAAACCACCTAAATCTATTTTCCATCATCTTCTCTACTATCAGTACTATCCCAACACTCTATTTAATATTTTAATTTCTAATCATATCATGTCTAGTCTTACCACACATTCAACACAACATTCTCAACTCTTCTACACTTACCTTATTCTCGTGTTGATTCTTAAGCACCTAACATTATGTCATGTACAACATTGTCAGTCTTACCGCAATCCACCCTTCAGTTTGAGCGATAAATTTGGGTCACATGAAACCCGTGAAACCCTTCTCCATTTCAGCCACTCAACTTGAATTCGATGATTTACACCCCCTTCTATTTCTTCATCATTTTGTATTACGAGTCCAAGATATTTAAATCATGTGACTTGAGGGATGTTATGGTCTCTAAATTTCACCTTTATTTAGATAAGCTCCTTATTTTTTTGAACTTATATTTCATATAATCTATATTACTTATGATTACACGAAAACCCTTTATTTGTAAAGCTCATCTCCAAGTCTCCAACCTCTCATTTAAATCGTAATTCGACTCTCCAAGTAGGATTATATCATATGCAAAAATCATGCATCTTGGTACTAACTACTGGATGTGTTTCATGAGTACATCCAAAGTTAAAGATAAAAAGGGAATGGTTTCATGAGTACATCCAATTATAATTGAGAAATTGTGTGTCTCTCCATCCTGTGTTTGCGCACTAGTCGATACTCCTTCATACATATCTTGGATAATTTGAATATAAGCAATCCTAGCTAAAGGTGAGGAAAATACACAAGAAGGGAGGGTTGAATTGTGTTCACTAAAAACGTTTCTGCTTCTGAACAAAGTTAAGATTCTAAACGATAATTCAGAATTTGTTGACAAGTGCAACAGAAAATATATCAGAAGTAAACCAAAAAGAATAATGAACACATCAGATTTATCCTAGTTCCTCTTCAAACTGAGAGCACTTCAGTCCTCTTACAACACAAGAGATTTTCCACTATAATCAACACATGATTATAATTGCTTGTGCACTTAAGTATAAGACTTTCACTGCTCAGACCTACAACTTAAGACTTCCTTGCTTAATCAACGCCTGATTAAGACTTCTCTACTTAGATCCTTAGATCCTAAGACTTTCCTTGGTTAAACACTCCTGGTTCAAGAATTCACTACTTAGAGACTCTTCATAAGACTTCTCTTCTTATATCCTCGATCCAAAACTTCACTACTCAGACGCACCGTCTAAGTCTTCTTTGCTCAGATTCGCAATCCAAGACTTTACTGCTCAAACACACTATCTAGGTCTTCTTTGCTCAAATTCTCAATCCAAGACTTCATTTGCTTAATCAAAATAGATCAAGAATTTTAATGTTCGAGCACATAGCAAGAGAATTTCATGGCTTAAGCTTTTCAACTAGAGACTTTTAAGCACAAGCACTTAGCAAGAGACTTTAATCTAAGCTGTTAAATAACATGTCCAGCAGAATAAAGAACAAGGTGTACTTGATACTTAGATTAGAGATACAGGGTATTCACACTAACAAAGACCTTAAGCACTTAATATTTCCAAGATACCCAATGTTTAGGAAATCTTAAGGCTTTTTACAATTTACAAATAGTAACCGAAGTTTCTGCATATTCAGTAGTGTTACTCATTGTTGATCTTGTTATGTCTTCATTCAGATAGAAATGTTGAGAACTTCTAATATTATTGGAATTCCTTGTTCTTATTCCTTGTTGAAGATTCAGATTGAACTTTCAGCTACTTATATAGCAAATTGCAGAAGACTAGCCATTGGAAGAGATAACTTGATCAAGTGTCTTTTTTTCTCCATAGTACAAGAGAAGTTGAAGATAGATACACCAAAAGATTTTGATCCATTATGTATCATCTTTAACCATTGAGTCTTCAAAGAGATCCTGTACTATAGAGTTGTTGAGAGTTGTTATCCGTAAAGCATGTCAACTCTTCTTGAGCCTTGTGAACTTAAACTCTAGCTGACAAACTGATATGACAATGCATCTTGTATTCTACAGTACGAATAGCTTTATGTTTGCTACTATTCCTGAACGATCATTAGAAACCAATACAATCACCAATTGTAGAGACAATGTGTAGTTTCTTCTGATGCTCAGTGTTGCACCCTAAAATTTGCTCAACCTACTTCACTTGGTTTATGTTTCAATTGCGTTGTCATTTGCATAAAAAGTCATGTACATAGTCTAATCATTTGCATAGCATAGCATAACAAGTCATCTGACAAGGGATCAAGTGCTATTTTTCATCTCAAGGAATGTATTCAAGAGGCTCTTATCAAGACTCAAGCCTATTCAAATCACCAAGAAAGAAATTGAAGCTTTGGGAAGTTTAAAGGCCAAGCAGTGGGTTTCTCTCCTATCTTGAGGGTATGTGAAGATCATCAGAGAAGTTATGGGTTATGAATTGAGGGCATGGAATACCTAGAGGGTCCTTTTGAAAGAAAGACAAGTCATTGGTGTGGTTACAAGAGCCAGAGTTGAAGTACAGTCAACTAGGGTGTCATCTGGGTCAACCCTGGGTCAACCCTAGGTCAAATGCTTGATTGAAGGGCATCAAGGCCTATTTGGAGGATGTGGGGGTCATAATTTGATATGTGGATATGGATGTGGTGTTGTGCCAAGGAGAAATCAAAATAAATCAAGAAGAAGAGAAGTTTCTAAATTAGGGTTTTTGAGTAAAATTCCCTGATTTAGGTCAAACTTCCAAGCAAAGTAATTCAAAATTCAAGTCTCAAATGGATCTTTGGCCAACATAAAACTTGTAGAGTATCTCAAGACCTTTAATTTGAGTGGTGGAAGGCATCAAGGAGATTTGTAGAACTCAAGTTATGGTTCTTGCAAGTTACAGGTCCTCAGAGGCATCTGAAATTTGTCTGTGAAAGTTACTTGACTTCCAAGCAACTTTTGCCCCTTAAGGAGTTTTCAAATGGATTTTTGGCCAACATGAAAGTTGTTCCCCATGATCTTATCTTTCTAGAAAGGTATGGTATGCCTCAATCTGATTTGTGGAGCTCTACTTATGATCTTGACAAGCCAAGGGCATTTTGGTCATTTGGAGGTTATAGGTCATTTCAAGCATAAGGACATATCTCCTACTTCCAAGCTTCAAATGGAAAAATCTTCAACATCAAACTTGCTTAGAATGATGTTTTAAGGCTATTAGGGAGGTCATGAGATGTTGGAAAGGCT